GGTGCTGAAAATCCAACCTGAGCCAGAAACCCTACATGTGATTGTATGGGAACCCTCTGAATCGCTGTATCACTTACTGAGATGCTTAACCCCCAGAGCAGCAGTTTCTCAACTTTTGAGTCTCAAGAGGCACTTTTGTCTTAAAAATTGAGGACACTTGAGATTGTTTATGTCAGCCATATCTTTTAATATTTATATTGTATTCCAAATTAAAGCTGAGACAAATTAAAAACATGAAGCCTGAGATACCTTTTTCCCCTCAAAGGAAAATAGGCTTTGTTTTATTGTGCCCCTTACCTGTAAATTACCAAGGCACTGTAAATTGAAGGTCCACCCAGGCCCTGTGGCCTTTGCAGAGGCTGTTCACAGTTTCTTAGAAATGCAGATTAATTAGGTAGGAGCAGTGGCTGCTGGTGTCGGGTGTCGAGAAGCAATTTCCTCTTTGCTTTTTCCCAAACAAAAGAAATAATCACAGCTCCCCCTCTCTGTGACCTAAAGTTATGTCACTGGGGGTTTATCTTTCTGAGGTGTGCTTTTCAGTGAGGATGACTTCCCTTTTTGAGAAATGCATCCTTTTGTTGCCAGATTAAATTTCTGTAAAATCTGTGTAAGATCTACTCCCACTTTTTTTAAATATGAAATTACCTATCCCCCTCCTTGATACTTTTCTTCGATATTTCCCTTCAATAATTTCCTTCAATAAGTTGATAATTTTCTTCAATATTTTCCTTCAATAAGTTCCTTTTCTTCAATATTTTCTGCCACGTACATTTGAGAAAATGTACGTGGCAGAAAATTTTAATGTTAATGTATTATTAAGTAAATTTTTTTTCCTTTGCTAACTTGGTATTTTGTTTGGTTTGGTTTGGGGCCTCCCAGCCAATGCTCAAGAGGCCCAGGGCTGCTTTCAGAGATTCTTGGCCAACCAATAGTGGTTCAGCGTGAGGGTCCCTGAGGATGTGGTGCTACTCAGGTCCTGCTGTGTCAGGGATTACTGGGGCCACCTGGGCCTTGCTTAGGAGGCCTCCAGGGCAGTACCTGATGATGCTCAGGGAGCCTTCTCCTGCCTGGAATCAAACCAGGGTCAGCCACCCACATGTAAAACATGTGTCTTAATCCCTCTGTTATCTCTCTGGATCCTTCTGATCTCTTCTATGAACTTTTCATTATGCTGAACAGTCACAATAATAATCCAAGGGGCAGAAATTTTTTCCCGTGCCCAAATGTACACCTCTCATTAAAATGTCAGTGATGGAGTCTTCCCATATTCTTAGCCTTTGGAAAACTGGCAAAGAAAGAAAATCAGATTGCCAAAGCAATTAATATCTCAGTGTTACTATAACAGAAGTGTTAACTTTGTGGATTCAATGGGAGTATCTTGGGAAATCCTGGGATCCACAGTTCACACTTTGAGAAGTGTTTCCCTTAGAGAGTTATGAATAGAACTCAGGAGATTTGAGATCATAGATAGAAAAAAAACCCAGCTAATTTTGTATTTCCAGCATAGGCATGAGAATTCCTGTAACTTCTTTACCAATAGAAATCATAGATATGTTCATGGCATACCCTATTGCAGGTTATCTTAAAATATCATTGATTCTTATATTACTTTGAAATTATGTAGGCATTAGTCCTATTGTTATATATATTACCAATATAAATAAATAAACGGTTTCCATATTAGTATTTTATAATTTAAATTTATTTTGGGGCTGGAGCGATAGCACAGTGGTAGGGCGTTTGCCTTGCACGCAGCCAACATGGCCGATCCGAGTTCGAGTCCTCCGCCCCTCTCGGAGAGCCCGGCAAGCTACCGAGAATATCTCGCCCACACGGCAGAGACTGGCAAGCTCCCTGTGACGTATTCGATATGCCAAACACAGTAACAACAAAGTCTCCAATGGAGACGTTACTGGGCCCGCTCGAGCAAATCGATGATCAACGGGAGGACCTTTACTTTACTTACTTACCTTACTGTTTTAACATGCTATATTTCACTTATATGCCTTAGAGGGCTTCCAGTCCTGCAAAGGCCTATAATGCAGTGCTTGGAATCCTGGTGATTTGTTTGAAGGGCTCTTAGAACTCAGGTCCTGCAGATTCCTTACTGTCTCCTACTCATGAAGGGCCAGCAAGGATCTGTGCTCTAGTTAGTTAAATCTGCTGAGGGTGAGCAATAAATAGCTGAAGCTTCAAAACACTGTCAAACACTGTCCTCCCGTTGTTCATCGATTTGCCTGAGCGGACTCAGTAATGTCTGCATTTTGAGACTTGTTAACTGTGTTTGGCATATTGAATATATCACGGGTAGCTTGCGGGCGAGATACTCTCGTTGGCTTGCCCGGCTCTCTGAGAGGGACAGAGCAATCAAACCGGCTCGGCTGGGCTGGCTGCATGCAAGGCAAACACCCTACCGCTGTGCTATCGTTCCAGCTTGCTGAAGCTTCACTCTTGGTTATTTTATTGCAGTCTCCAGAATTGGACTCTCTAGCAGGAAATTTGATATTTTCTCACTGGATTGATGATTGATGAATAATCTAATCACTGCCCCCTCGTGACCCCTCCTCCCTTCCCCCCCCACTCCCCACAAACACACATTAGAAATGCCCTCTTATCTCAGAAAGCTTTATCCCCTGAGTTTGGTCTTATGAGAGATACTGATGGAAACACTTATTCTGTGACAACTAACTTGAATCGTCAATACTTATGGATAAGGAGGTGATACTTAAAACGATTCGAAATTAAAATAATGACTCAAAGTAATAAGTGAATAAATTTGAGACTTGTCAAGTGTGAAGTCGGCTTGTTGGCATTTTTCGACAGGAGTTTGAAAATGAGATGAAAGTTTTTCAAGTGCCTTGGCCCTGACCTTTGAGTCATGTAGTTTACCTTAATTCATCTTGATCACTTGATCACTTGATATCCCTTTACTCATTGACCTGCTCAAGCAGGCGCCAGTAACATCTCCATTTGTCCCTGTAGCGTTCTAGTGTAGCCCAATGACATCTGCTTGTTCTAGGAACATGGACAGCCTCAAACTGATCATTTAGGGTCTTGACGAAGAAGTCCTACCATCTCGTAGGTGGGCGGCCACGCGATCTTTTGATGTCCCGTGGAATCCAGTTGGTAATGGCTCTAGTCCAGCGGTTGTCTCCAAATCTCATTACCTATCCAGCCCATCTGATTTTTGACGCCTTGGCAAACGAGACACCGTCCCTGATTCTTGACCATCGACGGAGGTTGGAACTCCAGATTCTTTCTCTCATTTGAGTGAAGCATGATACTCCAAGCATAGCTCTTTCGATTCCTCTTTGGGAGACCCGTTCACATCCTGTTTTCATAGGGCCCAGGTCTCTGAGGCATATGTTAATGCAGGAAGAACAGTGGAATCGAAGAGATGTACCTGGAGCTGGAGTTTCTTTGTCTTCTTAGCTATTTCTTCGAAGCTCTTGAAAGCATTTCAAGCCACTCTCTTCCTTCTGTGCAACTTAGGTGCCAGGTCATTCATCATGTTGACTTCTCGACCTAGGTACACATAACTATTGCATTTGGAGATGTTTGTCCTGTTGAGAACGAATGGAACGTCAGGAATGAGACAGTTTCTCATAAACATTGTCTTTGTGAGATTCAGCTATAGTCCGACCCTTTCACACGGTCGAAGTCAGCCAGCATTTGTGCCACTTGGCTAATGTTTGGTGTTATTAGAATGATGTCATCAGTGAAGCAGAGGTGGTGTAGTTGCCAACCGTCTATCTTCACTCCCATTTCTTCCCATTCCAGTCGTCACATGATGTTCTCGAGCATATTCACCTTATATGAAAGTAATTCTAAAGGGTCATTGTTCTGATCTTTGAGTCATGTGGTTAACTTTTTTTTTTCTTAGTGAAAGTGAAGAAGTTACATGATATAATAAAAAGGAGCATTGCCATAAGAGTTAGGAGACTGGAGGGTTTGGTTACACCTAATGATGCTCAGGGTTTGCCTTCTGGTTCTGTTCAGGGGTCACTCCTGGTAGTATTCTGGAAATCATAATGTTAATTACAGATCAAATCAGGATCATGGAAGCACCTTGTACTATCTGCAAGACCAGTTATTGTTCTTCCTCTAATTGGGTGAGAGCTTTTGGAAAAGCTTTTCTATAACTAGATTTCAGGGCTTCAAATTATTACAGAACTGCTCTTGATCAAATATATTTATTCATTCATTCATCCATTCATTGATATTTATTGATCACCTACTATGAATAAGTGTTAGGCTCTGGGAAGACAACAGAGAATGGTATTTGATTTCTGCCCCGAAATTTTATAGTCCAGACTCTAACCAGAAAATAAAAATTTAGGCAGAACTCTAATATTTCCAGAGTTAAATATTAGGCATTCTTGATGAAATCTATGAGGATGGTCAGTCATCTGCTTATGTCTATCATTTTGGGTCATTAACCAGCCCACTGATTGAAATTGGAACCTAGGAAAGAGTGTCCTTGATCATCATCTGATAATGAACTTTAATTTACTTAATCAACATTTACTAAACCCTAAAATCTGTGCCATGCCTTCATTACTGAAGTGGCTCAAGGGGCAGAAAGATATAAACAATTCAGATGACAAGAGCGCCAACAGACTATGTACAAAGTATTTTGTGTATGAAAAGGGAGGTATTCCAGACACAGATGTTGGCTGTTGTAGGAGGTTGGTGAATACCACTAGGTTTGGGAATACCACAAGGAGCTTTTGGCATATTTAACAGGACCTTGAAGATTAAGTCATAATTTTTAAAGTTGGAAAGTAAGAGAAAGCCAATGTGATCATGGTTTAGGATCTTCTCTAATGTATCCGATCATTAAAAATCTTGAATTTTGAGATAAAATTTTAAAATTTCCCTAACGTAATGTCAAAAATGTTTTGATGAGGGGAATTGAGCTTTTACTTTTGCTATGGGATGTAACATCGCATTTGTAACCTTTTCTTCAATATTTGTATGTCTCTGTGTGTCAATTTTAGAAAAAACACCCAGACTGATGCCCGATAAAGAAAGTATGTATTACCCACGGGTCCAGCATTATCGAGAGCTGCTGGACTCCTTGCCGATGGATGCTTATACACATGGCTGCATTTTACATCCTGAGCTAACTGTGGACTCCATGATCCCAGCTTATGCAACAACAAGGATTCGCAGTATGTAAATTTCTGGAAGTCTGTTTTAAGTTTCTCTTAATTTGCTTTCCTTGAGAATTACCACATCCCATTGTCATTGAGAAAAGAATGGGAAGAGTTCAGTTTGCCTCATGGAAGTCTATGTTATAAATCAATCCATGCACCCATCAGGTTAATCTCTGCTTCAGCTCATCAGCAAACAAGATATTTACAGTTTTATAGTTTATAGAATCTGATGTTCAGTTTCCTGGTTTTAGCGGTCAGGCTTGGGTAGAACTTGTAAGAGTAGTCTGTGGAAAATTCAAGAATATAACATGGTCTCATGGACAATTGAACTGGGATTTGGAAAAACTTGGATTTGCTGGGACTTCTGAGCACCTGAGTGTACAGATTTGGTCCATTATTTTGTTTTGTTACAAAGGGGCAAAACTATAGGATTTCTAACCATTGCTCTACTTCTAAATTTAGTGATTGGTGTATTAATGAGACTGACTGCAATAACCAACTCTTTCTTTTCCTCTTATTTTGAAGTCAGAGTAAGGTTAGTACACGAAATTGCAGCAGTAATTGTTATAAGCAGATAAGGGAAGGTGACATTGAGTATTGTGACATGCTGGGCATTGCACTAAGTACTTTTTTCTGGGCTCATATTTATTTATTTATTTTTTTTTCTTTTTTTTATTAGTGAAAAACCATGAGGTACAGTTATAGGCTTACAAATTTTGTGCTTGGGTTTCAGTTATACAATGATCAAGTCCCCATACCTCCACCAGTGCCCGTCATCCATCCCAATGGGTCCCAGCATCCCCCCCACCCTCATCCCCCCCCCCCCCCCGTCCCATCCTGCCTCTGTGGCAGGGTATTCCCCCTTGTTCTCTCTCTCTTCTTTTGGGTACTGTGTTTTGCAAGAGAGGCTTTGAGTGGCAATCATGTTTGGTCTATCGACTACTTTTAGCATGCTTCTCCCACCCTGGGAGGGCCCTCACAACACCCTTCATTTGGTACTCTCTTCTCTATCTGAGCTTCCTTTTCACCTAGAGCCTGTGGCTGGCCTTCCATTCATGGAGCAAAATTCCTGGTACTAATCTCAGCCATTCCTGTGTGTCACTCTCCCTTTTTGTTGCTTTATGTTCCCCAGATGAATGCAATCTTTCTGTGTCTATCCCGCTCTTTCTGACTCATTTCGCTTAACATGATACTTTCCATGTAGTACCATTTGTATGTAAATTTCATAACTTCATCTTTTCTAACAGCTACATAGTACTCCATTGTGTAAATGTACCAAAGTTTCTTTAACCAGTCATCTGTTCTTGGGCACTCAGGTTTTTTCCAGATTCTGGCTATTGTAAAGAGTGCTGCAATGAACAAACAATTGCAGATGTCACTTCGACTATACCTTTTTGCCTCTCTGGGATATATTCCCAGGAGTGCTATAGCTGGGTCAAATGGGAGATCAAATTCTAATTTTTTGAGAGTCGTCCATACTGTTTTCCAAAAGGGTTGGACCAGCCGGCATTCCCACCAGCAGTGAAGGAGGGTCCCTTTCTCGCCACATCCGCGCCAGCACCGGTTGCTTTTGTTCTTGTGGATGTGGGCCAGTCTCTGTGGTGTGAAATGACATCTCACTGTTGTTTTGATCTGCATCTCTCTGACGATCAGTGATGCAGAGCATTTTCTCATGTGCCCTTCTGCCACTCGAATTTCTTCCTTGCGAAAGTTTCTGTTCATTTCCTCACCCCATTTTTTGATGGGGTTGGGTGATCTCTTCCCGTGGAGTCCAACCAGTACCCTGTATACCCCCGACATCAACCCCCTGCCGGATGTGTACTTGGTGAATATCCTTTCCCATTCTGTAGGCTGTCCCTGTATCCTGGTCACTGCCTCTTTGGAGGTGCAGAAGCTTCTCAGTCCAAGACAGTCCCATTTGTCTATCTCCGCTTCCACCTGCTCGGCCAGTGGCGTGACATCCCCGAAGATACCATCAGCTTCAATATCATGGAGAGCTTTGCCGACTTTGTCTTCAATAAACACTATGGATTCTGGTCTGATGTTGAGGTCATAAATCCACCTTGATCCCACTTTTGTGCATGGTGTTAGGCAGAGATCTGAGCCCACCTTTCTGCATGCAGCCGTCCAATTTTGCCAGCACAGTCTGTTGAAGAGGCTTTCCCTGCTCCATTTCACTTCTCCTGCCCCCTTATCAAAAATCAGATGATTATATGTTTGGGAGGAAATGTCAGTATATTCAACTCTGTTCCATTGGTCTGCAGCTCTGCCCTTGTTCCAGTACCATGCTGTTTTAATTATCACTGCCCTGTAGTAGAGTTTGAAGTTAGGGAGGTTGATTCCTCCCACCTTCCTTTTCCCAAGAATTGCTTTAGCTATTCGTGGGGGCTTACCGTTCCATATAAACCTCAGGAGTGTTCGCTCCATCTCCTTGAAGAATGCCATGGGCATCCTTATAGGGATTGCATTGAATTTGTATAGTGCTTTGGGAAGTATCGCCATTTTGATGATGTTGATTCTCCCCATCCATGAACAGGGGATATCTTTCCATTTCCTCGTGTCCTCCTTTACCTCCTGAAGTAGCGTTTTGCAGTTTTCCCTGTACAGGTCCTTTACTTCCTTAGCTAAGCTGATTCCTAGATACTTGATTTTCTGGGGCACAATTGTGAATGGGATTGTTTTCTTGATGTCACTTGCCTCTCCTTCACTATTTGCGTATAGGAATGCCATGGATTTTTGGGTATTGATTTTATAGCCTGCCACTTCACCATACAAGCCTATTGTTTCTAGGAGTTTCTTGGTAGAGGTCCTAGGGTTCTCCAAGTACAGTATCATGTCATCTGCGAATAGTGAGAGCCTAACCTCCTCCTTCCCTATCTGGATGCCCCCAACATCTTTCTCTTGCCTAATCGCCATTGCAAGTACTCCCAGTACTACATTGAACAGTAGTGGAGAGAGTGGGCATCCTTGTCTCGTCCCTGACCTTAGGGGGAAGGGTCTCAGTTTTTCCCCATTGAGGATGATGTTTGCTGTAGGTTTGTGGTAGATGGCTTTAACTATATTGAGGAAAGTCCCCTCTATCCCCATTTTGGCAAGGGTTTTCATCATGAATGGGTGCTGGATCTTGTCAAAAGCTTTCTCTGCGTCTATTGATATGATCATATGATTTTTATCTTTTCTTTTGTTGATATGATGGATTATGTTGATTGATTTCCGAATGTTGAACCATCCTTGCATCCCTGGGATGAATCCTACTTGGTCATGATGTATGATCTTTTTGATGAGTTGTTGTATTCTATTGGCTAGTATTTTGTTGAGAATCTTCGCATCCGTGTTCATCAGGGATATTGGCCTGTAGTTTTCTTTTCTTGTGGTGTCTTTGTTTCCTTTTGGTATTAGAGAGATATGGGCTTCATAGAAGCTGTTTGGGAGAGTTTCTGTTTTTTCAATTTCCTGGAAAAGCTTGAGAAGAATTGGCAATAGGTCCTCTTTAAATGTTTGGAAAAATTCGCTAGTAAATCCGTCTGGGCCTGGGCTTTTGTTTTTGGGAAGACTTTTGATTACAGTTTCAATTTCCTTGATGTGAATGGGTCTATTCAGGTACTCTATATCTTCTTGATTCAGCTTTGGGAGATGGTAGAGATCCAGGAATTTATCCATTTCTTCTAGGTTCTTGTGTTTCGTGGCATAGAGACTTTCAAAGTAGTCTCTGATGATCTCTTGAATTTCTTTAGTTTCTGTTGTGATATCCCCATTCTTATTTCTGATTCGATTTATTAGGGTTCTCTCTCTCTGTTTCTTTGTGAGTGTTGCTAGTGGTTTATCTATCTTATTTATTTTCTCGAAGAACCAGCTCTTGGTTTCATTGATCTTTCGGATTGTTTCTTTGTTTTCCATGTCGTTGATTTCTGCTCTAAGTTTTATGATCTCTTTCCTTCTGCCTGATTTAGGCTCTTTCTGTTGATCCTTTTCTAAGGTCTTGAGCTGTGAGGTCAAATTGTTTATGTGCATCGTTTCTATCGACTTAAGATAGGCTTGCAGAGCTATAAATTTTCCCCTTAATACAGCTTTCGCTGCATCCCATAAGTTCTGGTAGTTTGTGTCTTCATTCTCATTTGTTTCCAGGTATCTTTTGATTTCATCCTTGACTTCGTTCCTGACCCACTCATTGTTCAGCATCGAGTTGTTTAATTTCCAGGTGTTTGATTTGGTTCTCCGTGTCTGTGTGTGATTCACTTCTATCCTCAGTGCATCATGGTCTGAAAAGATGGCTGATACTATTTCTATCTTCTTGATTCTGTTGAGGTATGTTTTGTGTCCTAGCACATGGTCTATTTTGGAAAATGTTCCGTGCGCACTGGAGAAGAATGTGTATTCTTTCTTTTTGGGGTGTAAAGCCCTGTATAAGTCCATAAGCCCTTTCTCTTCTATTACTTCTTTCAAAGCCAATAATTCCTTGCTGGGTTTTGTTCGTGTTGATCTATCCAGAGGTGATAAGGCGATGTTGAAGTCTCCAAGTACTATTGTGTTGGTAGTGATGTCCTCCTTAAAATCTGTTAGCAGTTGTTTTAAATATTTAGCTGTTCCCTCATTAGGTGCGTATACATTTAAGAGTGTGATTTCTTCCTGTTGTACGTATCCCTTGATGAAGAGAAAATAGCCTTCACTGTCCCTTCTAATCTTTTTCAAGGTGAAATTAATGTTGTCAGATACTAGTATGGCCACCCCAGCTTTTTTGAGGGAGTTGTTTGCTTGCAGGATTGTATTCCATCCTTTGACTTTGAGTCTGTGTTTGCTCTGGCTGTTGAGGCGAGTTTCTTGTAGGCAGCAGAATGTTGGGTTCTGTCTCTGTATCCATTTTGCCACTCTGTGTCTCTTAACTGGTGAATTTAGACCGTTGACATTGAGAGAGAGAATGGTTATGGGGTTTTGTGTCATGTTTCTGTGCAGGTGTGTTGTGGTTGTAGGGTTTGTCTTTTCTTATAGTAGCCCCTTTAGGCCTTGCTTTAGGTTTGGTTTTGAGTCTATGAAGTTCCTGAGCTGCTGTTTATCTATAAAATAATGTACTGTTCCTTCGATTTTGAGGGAGAGTTTAGCCGGGTAGAGTATTCTTGGGGAAGCATTCATTTCCATGAGTTTTTTGACTATATCTCGCCACTGCCTTCGGGCTTGTAGGGTTTCCTCTGATAGGTCTGCTGTGAATCTAAGGGATGCTCCTTTGTATGTGATTTCCTTCTTTGCTCTTGCTGCTTGCAGTATTGTGTCTCTATCGGCAGTATCAATCATTCTAAGTATGATATGTCTTGGAGTGTTTTTGTTGGGGTCTCTTTTAGCTGGCACCCTTCGGGCTCCTTGAACCTGAATGTCTGCATTGTGCAGCTCTGGGAAGTTTTCAGCAATGATTTGTTTGACGGTGTTTTTTTCATTGGGATTGTTTCCCTGAGGTTCAGGTAGTCCCATGATTCTAATATTGTTCCTCTTGGAGTCATCTGCTAGGACTCTGATTCTCTGTAGAGCCATTTTGAGGTCCCTTGCCAGTGTTTGTTGTTGCGTGTTGGCTTGTTGCAGCTGATCTTCCAGGTCACTGATTCTCTCTTCAGCTGCGGTCATTCTATTTTTAAGAGAAGAAACTGAATTTCTCATTTCATCTATGGAATCTTTTAATCGTGACATTTCTGCCCTCATTTCTTCTCGTAATTTGTCTATTTTTTCTGTGGTGTTACTGGCTGTCTGTCTGACTGTTTCATTGAGTTGATTGAACATCTTGATGACTTCGTACCTGAATTCTATGTCAGAGAGGTCCCTTAGGTGAGCTGTATTGACAGAATGGTCTAGATTGTTTTCGTTGTTCTCCCCTTGTGTTGGAGATTTTCTTTGTTTCTTCATATTGCTGAGTAGATTGGGTTACTAGATTCCTTGGGTAGTAGGTTCCTTAGTGTGGGAAAACAACCTGCGGCCGCCCGCTGGAAATTAAGCCACGCCCACTTTTGAGGCCACGCCCACTTTGAGGAGGCCACGTCTCTACAGAACCCTGGGTTTGGGATGAGATGGGCGCCGCCGTCAGGTCAGGAGTGAAGAGGGCAGGGCAGACGCTCAAAACTGCTTCTCTTCAGGCATTACGGGGGACACCTGGGGTCCTGCAGGGAAAGATGGAGGTCCCAGGGTCGCGAGCCGGCAGCTGTTCTGACCTGGAATTAAGATGAGATGGGCGCCGCCTCAGGTCAGGAGTGAAGAGGGCAGGGCAGACGCTCAAAACTGCTTCTCTTCAGGCATCACGGGGGACACCTGGGGTCCTGGAATTAAGATGAGATGGGCGCCGCCTCAGGTCAGGAGTGAAGAGGGCAGGGCAGACGCTCAAAACTGCTTCTCTTCAGGCATCACGGGGGACACCTGGGGTCCTGCAGGGAAAGATGGAGGTCCCAGGGTCGCGAGCCGGCAGCTGTTCTGACCTGGAATTAAGATGAGATGGGCGCCGCCTCAGGTCAGGAGTCTGGGCTCATATTTAATCATCCTCCATAGTCAATATTCTGATACTTTCATTTTAAAAGGGAGCAGACAGGCCAGAGATGTGAAGTTCTAGGCCAAAGAGGACATGAATCCCAGAACCCGTACTCTCATTAATATTTCCCCACTTTTTTTGTATAGAAGGGAGAAAATAATTTCTTTTTTTCTGCTACTCATTTTTTTTTCAATTTTTATTAGTCAAACACCATGAGGTACAGTTGTAGACTTACAAATTTTTGTGCTTGGGTTTCAGTTATACAATGATCGAGTACCCATCCCTCCACCAGTGCCTATTTTCCACCATCACAGATCCCAGTCTCTCTCCCACCCCCTCAATCCCCCCACCCCACCTCTGTGGCAGGGCATTCCCTTTTGTTCTTTCTCTCCTTTTGGGTGCTGTGGTTTGCAAAAGAGGCATTGAGTGGTACTCATGTTCGGTCTATAATCTACTTTCAGCATGCATCTCCCATCCTGGGAGGATCCGAAGGGAGAAAATAATTTCTATTAAGATTGTTTTTATCATCAGGCCAAATTGGTAATACTGAGTCTGAACTCAAGAAGCTCGCTGAAGAAAACCCAGATTTACAAGAGGCCTACATTGCCAAGCAGAAGCGTCTTAAAGTAAGTAAACCAGGCTGTCCCATTAGCACTGACAGTTTATATTAAATGTACTTTTTTTTTTGTAAAGTATTACTATTTCTAAAATACCTTCTGTTAAATATTGTAAGTCCACAGTACACATGTTACCATTGGCTTAGGCTGTGCTTTTAGAAATAATTTTCTTTATTAGATTTGATATTCAAACCTAAAGTCAGTTGCTTAAAAAGCAGACATTGTACAGGGTGATTGCCAATGAAAGTTATAAAATGTGGAAAGCAAGTTATTTTCTAAAATGTTCTTCTAGAATGAATTTCAGAATTCCAGGTATCCAACTACATTAAGGTTTTCCTAGGTGAGTGACTTGTTTTCCCCCTAAAGAGCAAGGTTTGGCTTCGTAGGCAATAGTCAGCCTTTCTCTTTCCATTGATTCTTTCCTCATGGCCAAATAACAAAATGTAGCACATATCAATCCCCCTGAAATCTTCCTCTATTTTCCATCTTCCTTCACCTAATCTTAATTAGGATAAGCGTCTGTCCCAATGCCTGAGTTTCCAACACATTCCATACTTTCAGTTACTCTGCTCACTGCATCAGAGCTTGTTGTTCTTCTGACTATTCATTCCATTATAGCTTCTACAATTTCATCTTTGAATTGGACATATGAGGCGACCTTTGTGTCCCTCCTGTACTTTGCCTTTTCTGGTCACTTGGGCTACAGGAGTTGCCAGCGAGCTGTGGGTCTGGCCGCAAGAGTGTTTTCACAGCTGGGATGTTCTCTCTTAAGTTTGCTTTTGCTTTAACGAAGTGACCCTATTTCCTGTCATTGTTTAGAATAAGCAGACTCTAGCTCTGAAAGAGTCTATATATCTTCTTTTTTTTGACATAGATTTTTATAGGCATAAATAACATATTAGTTATTTGTGTTAATTAGTCAAAGCTGCTTGACCATGACAATGTAAAATACTTGAAGAAAATTCTTGATGAGTTGGAGAAGGTTTTGGATCAAGTTGAAACTGAGTTACAAAGAAGAAATGAAGAAACCCCAGGTAGGTTCTTATACACACTATTTCTCCTCTTGGACACCAGAGGATTTATAAAAACATTCTTAGATTTCACCAAAAATATTCCATAATTTGTGATTGGTGTTACTCCTGGGGAATTATAATTTATGACAACAGCAGTAATATTGAATTCAGCTAAGCTGGGGGTCTAATTGTAAATCAGTCTTCAGGTCTGTGAAATATGACTAGGAAAGGATTTTTTGGCACCATTTAAATGAGGATTGGTGAGGTACAACTAAGCTGTTTGAAGAATTTGCATTTAAGGTGGTTTGGTTCAATAACCGAAAATAAATGAGGATATTCTCTCTATTTCTTTCCCCTTTGCCAGGGAGATGGGATCTCATCTAAAATAAATTGTAAAATGGGAGTCAGCATGCATAAGTCTGCAGATTGACTCTGAGCACACATATATTGTCCCTGTAATCAATGATTATACCTCTGGCCAAATAGACCATTTGTGCTATTCTAATTAAGTTGAAGATCATGTTACCTAAAACTTATTTCACCATAGAAACTCCCTTCTACTTTAACTAAATAGTGGAGAGCAGCAACCATACATGACACTACAGTGTCATGTATGAATTTTATTTTTCAAACGTTATGAATTTTCCTAAGACTGACCTGTGTTATTGTTAACAGGAGAAAATACATGTTAACTTCTGAGCCTAGTTTGGAGATTCTCAAAACCTCAGAAAATTAACAAAAAGATAAGCTTTCAGCTCAAATGGCTCCAATTCTAAGGCCCTACAAGGCTGAAAGTTGTGACCCAGTCTCCCATCCCCCGGGATTCATTTGTGTGAACTTTAATTTTTTAGCAGAAATTATTTACCAAGTGTGAGTGTCAGGGATATGAAACGTAGCCTTCATCTGGGTTCTCACACGTTTGGTGCATGTGAGTTTCTCAATACAGGAGTGACCCCTCACTGTTCATCTCTCCTTCTTTGCTTAGAAGAGGGCCGTCAGCCTTGGCTCTGCGGAGAGTCCTTCACCCTGGCAGATGTCTCGCTTGCTGTCACCTTGCATCGCCTGAAGTTCCTGGGCTTTGCGAGGAGAAACTGGGGAAATGGAAAGCGACCGAACTTGGAAACCTATTATGAGCGTGTCTTGAAGAGAAAAACATTTAACAAGGTTTTGGGACATGTCAACAATATATTAATCTCTGCAGTGCTGCCAACTGCATTCCGGGTGGCCAAGAAAAGGGCCCCGAAAGTTCTTGGCACCACCCTTGTGGTTGGTTTGCTTGCAGGAATGGGATATTTTGCTTTTATGCTTTTCAGAAAGAGACTTGGCAGCATGCTATTAGCGTTTAGACCTAGACCAAATTATTTCTAGGCTTTTACAGACCCAGTGGTGGAAGTTCATCCAACCATTCTGCTCTATTCCTTGTCTACTCTTCCAGGCCCAGTGGGCAGCTATTAAAAAACATGAAGAAAAAAAAATACAACATACCTAATTTACCTTACTCTTTGGGTTGCTTATGTGGGGAAGAGAGGCAATGAAGATGTTTTTGTGAGCTGGTGACTTCTTTGCAAGCCTGAACTAATCTATTTTTAAACATGGTTCTGACTAGGCTGACAGGGGTCAGGGCAGTTTTAACTCTGCGTGCCAGCTCCAGGCCTGACTGATTTGGGGGTAAAGGTCTGAGCAGACCTGCATAGTCAACTGTGATGGCTTAGGATTCTTCATTTGCGACTATCTTGGTGTGCTGTGAGTGAGCAGTCTCTCCCTCGACCCCCCCAACCCTGGAATTTAGAGAGAAGCTTTGTTACATGCCACAGGGATTTCGATAACTGCAGGAAATGGCAGGGCCTCCTGTTCTTGAGCTCCTAGTCTTAGGCAGACAGAAGGGGCGTGAAGGAAGAGAGCAGAGAAAAGGGAGAATGAAGTCTGTCTGTCCTTTATTCTGGAGAGCAGTAGAATAATGTAGCCTCTAGCCACGTCCAGTGCCACTGATGGCTTCCTGTCCCCTAGTAAACATATTATACCCCTGTGCTCCCTACTCACACATCCAACTGCATGGAGTCAGGATCTTCAGGGTCAGAGGACTAAGGCATCATTGGTTAGGGGTTAAGCTTGAGAGAACATCAAATTTTGCATTTACAACATCTCATTTGTCCTTAGTGTTTAACTTCTTGCTTAGGGGTTACCCTCATCGTTTCCAGTAAGATTAACTTTATATATGGTGGGTGTGAACCGTGTCTGTCTAGCATTTACATGAATCTCCTCAGTGGTATGAAAATGGTCCCTTTCTTCTTTCTTATGGTTCCCCAATTTAATGGTGCCTGTGAGATGCCACTCCTGTGAATAATCACGTCTGACTGCAAAGCCCTTTTCATGTTCACAAGTATCATTTAGGCAAATGTCCCAGCTAATCACTAGCTTGACAAGTGGCTGGGTAGCGAGTGAGTATTTTAATCAGCTGGGCTTATTCAGTATTTTTGTTTGAGGAGGCTGTGTTTTAACAAACTCTTATCCAGGCTGACATCTAGCTCTGTTCACCCACAAAGCCTTAAAAAGGTTATAGAGAAAGTGGAATTGGCCTTCAATTTAGAGAGATGACTATGTAGTTATTTAGTGATGTTGAATGACAGTCATGCATATGTAGGCATTGGAGGATTGCTGAAAGTCCATCCAGAAGAAACTGTTTCAGGTGTGTCCATAAAAGGTAGATTTGTACCTGGAAGTTTGTGCTCAGGATAAAGCTTTCATAACAGTGTGAAGCCAAGTCCTTTGAAGGGTAGTGAGAACAGTTGCATGTCATTGGGAGGAAATTGATAGCAGGGTGTGTGTGGGGGGGTGAATTTCTAGCAAAAAAAATCTTGCTTTGGACTCATTCAGATTATGCAAAACAGCAAGGATGTGCAGATATCTTCATTAATAGGTAACAGTCATACCTAAAAACCAACTTTTTGTTGGTAATATGATTCATTTCATGATCTGCGTGTTCTAGAAAATCTACATGAACTAGTTGTTTCCTGTTTACAAGCATTTAAACCATCTCCAGAATAAAATTATTATGACCATCATTGACAAACTGGCAGCTTAAAATATCTTATTTTTGCATTTCGGTGTAATGTTGTAGTCTGAATTTGTTGTGGGGCATTCCAATCTGTGTGTTCATAAAATATCCCAGAACACTGATTAATAGTATTTTATTTGAAGCAGAATTAGAAAATGAAGGAATCAGTTTGGGTTTAAAAAAGTCACAAAAATAAAAAAGGGGCTGGAGCAATAGCATAGCGGGTAGGGCGTTTGCCTTGCACGTGGCCAACCCGGGTTCAATTTCCAGCACCCCATATGGTCCCCTGAGCACCGCCAGGAATAATTCCTGAGTAAACGAACCAGGGGTACTTGTGCATTGCCAGGTGTGACCCAAAAAATAAAAACAAAACAAAAAAAAATAAAGAAAAAATCTAAAAGGGATATTTATCTTTAAAAGGTTTGTTGACTAAAAATAAAAGAATTCAAGTTCAGTGTTGTTTTTTTCCCTAAATTTCTATAATTGCTGAATCAGGAAAAAAATTCTAGAATGTATTTATAGTTTGATGAGATTCATTGAAGATACGCTTTTGTCAATAGTAGAATGTATCATGACAATTTCACTTGTTTCATGAATGTTCTTGCATTTGTATTTATTTAATATTTGTTTGGAATTGTAATGGCCACTAGATGCCGCTGTTCATCCAGTAGTATCACATTGAGCATTCTTACCAAGCCTTGTGAAGTAGTTCAAGTAAAGATAACCATTAATGACCTTTGTTTTAGAAAACAGCATCTTCGTTCAGATCATTCATCTGTAAAATAGCTTAAAGCACATGTAATATTGATTTCTGATGCTTTGGAAGGACTAACAGTACCACACAATGTCAAGTAAAAGATCTGAATGTATACTACTACTGCAGATAGGCACTTATTTGTTTTCTTTTTTTCATGATCACTGATGACTGGCTAATGTGCTTTGCAGTTTCCAAAATTTGTGTGAATATCACAGAACAATGTGTGAGGTACTAAAGTTATATTGACTATTAATGCCTTATTACATATGTACTATTTTGTTATTGCAATTCCATTTTTTCTTTAATTGCTGACAGTTGTAAATTGCTTGCTTTTTTAGTAATTATTGATATTGTACCAGTCTTTGTTAATTTTTTTTTGGTGTTTAATATAATAGACAAAGATAGAATTTTGCCTGTATGATCAATAAACTTAATTGGGAAAGAAAAAAAGTATTTGTTTTGTGATTTTAAAGAAAATGGGCATATTTTGTTATTTAAAATAAAAACACTTAGAGTGAAGTAAGTAGAAGTTAGATATTTAGAGCAGGAAGAATGCCACATTTTTCTCAGAAAAATGACAATTCTTGGTCATTTTGGTGCGTAAGGTTAGGTAACTATATTCAGAAAGTTGAATGCTTGCTTTGCATGCAGCCAAACTGGTTTGATCGTTGGCACCCAGTGTGGTTCCTTGAGCCCCACCATAAGGGATCCCTGAGTACCAATAGGTATTTCCAAAACTCCCCCCAAAATGATGAGGTAACAATATACATCGAAATCATAAATATCAACACCTGGATAGGCATATAATCTAAACTCTAATATTTACACTAGCACTGTAGCACTCACTGTCCTCCTGTTCTTCATCGATTCACTCGAGCGGGCATCAGTAACCATCTCACAACAAATTGTGAGACTTGTTGTTACTATATTTGGCATATCGAATACTTTGCCACGCGGGCGAGATACTCTCGGTAGCTTGCCAGGCTCTCGAAGAAGGGTGGAGGAATTGAACCTGTGCTACCGCTCTAGCCCAATATTTACAGAAAAGAATAAAAATGATTAGTGGTAGAAGGGTATGCACACTGTGGCGTTGATGCAATAGCATCGTACATCATAACTAAAATTGTTTAATAATACTGTAACCATGTCATTAAACTTCAAAAATAAAAATTACCACTTCATGGTTTATTCAAATATACATAACTTTGTGGTTAGATGAAGAACAACTTAAAAAATAACATTGATGGGGCTGGAGAGATAAGTAAAGCCAGTAGGGCATTAACCTTGCATGTGTCCCACTGTGTTCAAAATCCAGCATCCCATATTCACCCCTGAGCACAGCTAGGAGTAATTCCTGAGCTCAGAGCCAGAACTAAGCCCTGAATGTGGATAGGTGTTTACCTCCCACCCCGCCAAAACCCCCCCCACACAAAACAAACAAACCCAAACAAGTAAATACTGCTCCTGGACATTGGAGGAGTTCCTTTGCAAGAAGCCACTTCAAAAGTGATTGTGTAATGATACCATGAAAGTTTCTCTATTTTTTTCAAATGGTGTGCTAAGTAGGGTGGGGTGCAATGATTAGTTAGTGATGCTGGCGGGGCAGTTCAGTACTGTCTTGCAAAGTACTTCTGGTGCCAGGGATCATATTTTGGGTCTTAGACATGCAAGGAAATATGGCCAATGATTTGAGCCATATTCCCAACCTGAATGCTTAATTTTTTGCAGAATAAGTTTTTTTTCCCATACCTGGTAGTGTTCAGGGCTTACCCCTGGCTCTGTGCTCAGGGAGCACTCCTGGCAGTGTTCAGGGGACCAATAAGGATGCCAGGGATTGAACCCCAGCTGGCCGTGTCCAAGGCAAACAGTGCTATTGCTTTGGCTTTCAGAATAGTTCTATTACATGTTTTTTTCCCCAGTGTGACACATAGTCTTCTTAATGTATTTATGTATGATTTTGAGTCAGCTCTCTTTTATTGAATTATGAATACTCAAATTACCATCCATAAAGTTTGCCTTGGTGAGTTTAGCCATTATTATTATTATTATTATTATTTTTATCCAATAGAATCTGAGTGCTGTTTTTGTTTGATATTAACCAGATTAATAAATTAAGTAAAAGTCTTATTGTCCTAAATTCTCTGAGTTAGCAAACAAAAGACAATACTGAATAACCATGAAAAGTCAAGTGATTATGTAACTGTAATCTGCTCAGAAGAAAAAAGAGCACTATGGCATAGACCAGTGGTTCCCAAATTGGGTGATGTTGCATCTATGGGGAGTGCTAGAATTCTCTAGGAGGTCACTAGTAGCCTTGATGAATAGTAGGTACTCTGTTTGCTTAAAGAATGTAGATTTCCAGGAGATGCGCTGAGTAATGTTTTTTCTTCCTGGCTGGGTGTGTAGACCAAATAAATTTGGGAATCTCTAGTGAAGATAAGAAAGTAAAATCATGATGATGATGATGATGTTTTGGGTCATAGTTGGCAGTACTCAGGACTATTTCTGGCTCAATGCTTGGGTTTCATCAGTGGTGCTTGGGAAACCATGCAGTGCGGGAGACCTCTACATCCAGAGCAAGCACCAACTCATTGAACTATCTCTCTGATCTATTGAAAACAATATTAATGCAATAAATTTAGCATTTAGACATAGTGTTCATAGCGTTCATGCCAAATATTTTGTACACTTATATTATGCCTACTTCCCTTATCATGATCATGATCACTATCATCCTGTTGTTCATCAGTTGCCTCAAGCAGGCACCAGTAACGTCTCCTTCGTCCTAGCCCTGAGATTATAAAAAGTGCCACATTCAAGGCTCTTTCAGGGTTAGGAGAAAGAGACCCATCATTGT